TCCCACAATGCACGCGAGCCCCAGATTTTTTTCACAGGGTGCACACCGACCACTGAGACCCATTCTCTCTCGTGTAGGCCTACCAGCCCTTTCCCGCTTGATTTGAAGCCGCTAGAATTTATGCGTATAGATACGTCAAACACGGTATCTCCCATGACGTACATATACGACCGCGACAGTCAAAGGGTTAAACCTACCCCATACCTCTTCGACCCCATTGCCTATGCTCTCATTTGCCCATCTATCCTCCAATAGCTGTTTATATCTTACCCTAACTGCCTCCTCTTTTAGTTTATAAACCTTCACCTCTCTCTTCCCTGATGCTTCTATTCTCCTTGTATCCCATCTACCTTTTACTCTCAGTGTAGCTACAACTAGAAAGTGATCTGATATATCTGTGGCCCCTCTATAAACATGTTCATCCTGAAGTCTACTCAACAGTCTTTTATCTACCAATACATAATCCAACAAACTACTGTCATTTCGCCCTACATCATATCTTGTATACTTATTTATTCTCTTTTTCTTAAAATATGTATTACCTATAACTAAACCCCTTTCTATACAAAGTTCAATCAAAGGGCTCCCATTATCATTTACACCTGGCACCCCAAATTTACCTACCACACCCTCTCTAAAAGTTTCTCCTACTTTAGCATTCAGGTCCCCTACCACAATTACTCTCACTTGGTTCAAAGGCTCCTATACATTCACTTAACATCTCCCAAAATCTCTCTCTCTCCTCTACATTCCTCTCTTCTCCAGGTGCATACACGCTTATTATGACCCACTTTTCGCATCCAACCTTTACTTTAATCCACATAATTCTTGAATTTACACATTCATATTCTCTTTTCTCCTTCCATAACTGATCATTTAACATTACTGCTACCCCTTCCTTTGCTCTAACTCTCTCAGATACTCCAGATTTAATCCCATTTATTTCCCCCCACTGAAACTCCCCTACCCCCTTCAGCTTTGTTTCGCTTAGGGTCAGGACATCCAACTTCTTTTCATTCATAACATCAGCAATCATCTGTTTCTTGTCATCCGCACTACATCCACGCACATTTAAGCATCCCAGTTTTATAAAGTTTTTCTTCTTCTCTTTTTTAGTAAATGTCTACAGGAGAAGGGGTTACTAGCCCATTGCTCCTGGCATTTTAGTCGCCTCATATGACACGCATGGCTTACGGAGGAAAGATTCTTTTCCACTTCCCCATGGACAATAGAAATAATAAAGAAGAACAAGAGCTATTTAGAAAAAGGAGAAAAACCTAGATGTATGTATATATATATGCATGTGCGTGTCTGTGAAGTGTGACCAAAGTGTAAGTAGGAGTAGCAAGATATCCCTGTTATCTAGCGTGTTTATGAGACAGAAAAAGAAACCAGCAATCCTACCATCATGCAAAACAGTTACAGGTTTCTGTTTCACAGTCATCTGGCAGGACGGTAGTACTTCCCTGGGTGGTTGCTGTCTACCAACCTACTACCTACATGTATGTATATATATGTATATATACATATGTCAGGAGTTGGGTCTATGAGAAATGAGGTGAACCATAGAACTGACAAGGAAAAAAAGTTGAGTGATTCACTGAGGAGTCTTTGGAGACAGAGAATGTTATCCATGGAAGCAAAGAGGGGAATATATGAGAGTATAGTGGTACCAATGCTCTTATATGGGCGTGAAGCATGGGTAGGGAGTATGGGTAGTGAATGTTGCAACAACAAGAAGGCTGGACTTAGTGGAGATGTGTCTGAGGGCAATGTGTGGTGTGAATATTATGCAGAGAATCAGTAGCTTGGAGATCAGGAGGTGCAGGGTTACTAAAAGTATCCAGAGGGCTGATGATGGGTTGTTGAGATGGTTCAGACATTCAGAGAGGATGGAACAAAATAGAATGACTTTGAGGACATATAAATCTGTAGTGGAAGGAAGGCAGGGTAGAGGTCATTCTTGGAAAGGTTGGTGAGAGGGGGTGAAGGATGTTTTGTGTGTTAGAGGCTTAAACTTGCAGCAAGTGTGCGTGAGTGTTGAATTGGAGTGAGTGGAGGCCTCCTCCTCCTCCTCCTCCTCCTCCTCCTCCTTGATGTGCTGGTGAAGTGTGAGCAATGCATATAGAAGGTAATCAGGAAAATTGGTTTGCTGGACTTGAATCCTGGAGGTAGGAAGTACAGTGTTTACACTCTGAAGGAGAGATGGGGATATGTTGCAATTTTTTAATTGTAGTATCAACATGCCTCTGGCAAGACAGTGAACGAGTGAGTGGTGATGAAAGTGTTTCTTCTTTTTCGGGTCACCCTGCCATGGTGGGAGATGGCCAGCATGTTAACAAAGAATTCAGTGTGTATTTTATTCAGAATATGGTTTTATTTCAGGGTTCCAAAAAATTGTATGTGTGCCTTCACATTGAATTGTGACACCTATTATCCAGATCCCAACTACCGTTTGCACTCAGGAAGAGGCCAAAGACCTACAAAATATTTACAAGTTTCTGTAGAACAAAAACAAAGGTATGAAAGTTTTTTACTTTTAAATTGTGCAAATTTTGCATTGCTTATCCTTTTAACACTTTTTCATTTTTGGGAGTCCTTGTGTTATGACCCTTCCAAGTGAACTGCACCCAAACAGCTAACAGGTGCTGAGTGTAAATGTATAGACATTTTTAATTTTAACTTTAATCTGTATAAGCATTTTTTTTTTTTTTTTTTTTTTTTTTTTATATACAGTGAAGTATGTGATTATAGGCAGATGGGTAGAAAAGGAAAGAGGAAGTAGGGGAGAAAATAGAGACTGAATGTTAAATGGGGAGGTGGAGATATTGAAGAGATGGAGAGAATATTTTTTGAGTGTTGTTAACCTTAACCTTTTAACTGTCCAAACGTTGTTCTACATTTTCACTGCTTGCACTCTGAATATTTAAAAAAAAAAAAAAAAAAAAAAAGATTTTTAAAGGGGCAATTTTCTGTGTGTAATAAGACCAAAAAGAAAAAAAATCGCACTAGTACTTATTTAGATATAAGGCGGCGAAGTTGGCACTGGATGCTCGCCTGATGACAGCATGGAGTGCTGCCACTTGCTGCCGACATGTTAAAAAATATACAATTTATAGTAGTTATTGTGATTTTATAGCCAGTAGCCAGTCATTTTTCTGACGCTAATATTAGGTACGGAAATAGTAACCAGATAGTCACAAACACACTGACAGGTGAGCATGTTCACCTGTTCGGTCACATACTGTTACAGTTGTACCTTGACTTACAAGTGCCCCAACTTACGAGCCATCGATTTTTTGCTTTGAGTTGCGAGTTATTACAGCCCAGATAATCACAGCCTGTTGTCCTGGGTGTAAAGGGAGCTTGGAGGGAAATAAACACAGCTAAAATATTTGATTTGTATTTTCCTTCAAGTATAAACTGAAGTATGTACACTATACAGTGGGCCCCCGACTTAGGATATTAATCCGTTCCTGAGATCCCATCGTAAGACAAAATTATCATAGGTTGAATTAATTTTCCCCACAAGAAATAATGGAAATGAAATTAATCCATTCCTGACACCCCAGAGTATGAAAAAAATAAATTTTGCCACATAAAATAAATATTTTCCTCCACACAAAAAGGAGACATGCGTAATACAGAGGAACGTCGGGTTACAAATTTAATCCATTCCATGGACTTGTTCATATCCTGATTTGTTCATATGCTGGGTCAATTTTCCTCATTTAAATTAATTGAAATGCAATTAATTCATGCCAGCTGAATTCCTGCTCTCGGGAGGCATGACAAAATAACCCTAATATCAACTCTGTGGCTTATTTATCTGTCACAATTCATCTAATATGACATAATAAACAATGTAAATAACATAGAAACACACACTAGAATGAACAAAATACAGTGGACCCTCAAACAAAGGTTTTAATCCATTCCAGAGAACTTGCCGTTGGCCGAATTAATTTTCCCCATAAGAAATAATGGAAATAGAATTAATCCGTTCCTGACACCCCAAAGTATGAAAAAAAAAATTTTTTGTACGTGAAATATACATTTCCCTACACAAAAATGAATGGGACATGCAAAATAAACAATCATTAAATGCCACTTACCTTTATTGTGGAGTTGTTGTTGAGTGATAAGATGGTGGAGGTGTTTTATTGTTTGGAAGGGGAATCCCCTTCCATAAATACTTCAGGTACCAAGTCCTTTGGTGGGGTTACCGCCCTTCTTGGTGTTTTAATGCCACTAGGACCAGCTCGAGAGTCACTGGGCCCCTGTCGCACAAAGTATCTGTCCAGAGAGCTCTGTTTCTCACGTGCCCTTAGGATTTCCCTAAAATGGGACCTTGAGTGTCATTGTACATGTTGCCAGTACGGCTTGCAACTTCTGTGACAGGATAAAATTTATCGATAAATGCTTGCACCTTTGTGAATATTGAACACATTTCCCTAATCCTTGACGAAGTCATCTTCCTCTGTCTCTCTTCATCCTGCTCTGAAGAACATTCCTGAGATGTGATCTGTTGCTGTTGCACCTGAAGCTCTTGCAGGTCTGCAATGGTTAGTTCTTCCTCGTCGTTATGCACCAACTCTTCCACATCCTCGCCACAAACCTCCAACCCCAAGGACTTCCCCAATGACACAATGGCTTCCACTACTGGCATAGCCTCCAGAGGGTTAGCCCCAAACCCTTCAAAATCCCTCTCTTTTACACATTCTGGCCAGTTTCCTCCAAGTAGAGTTCAAGGTCCTCTTAGTCGCTCCTTCCCAAGCCTTACCTATAAGGTTTACACAACTGAGGATACTAAAGTGATCTTTCCAAAACTCTCTTAGGGTCAGTTGAGTGTCTGAGGTCACTTCAAAGCACTTTTGAAACATAGCTTTTGTGTAGAGTTTTTTGAAGTTGGAAATGGCCTGCTGGTCCATGGGCTGGAGGAGAGGAGTGGTATTAGGAGGCAAAAATTTGACCTTGATGAAGCTCATGTCCCCTGAAATTCACTCTGCCAAGTCTGAAGGATGACCAGGAGCATTGTCTAATACCAGGAGGCACTTAAGGTCCAATTTATTTTGCATTAGGTAATTTTTCATGGTGGGGGCAAACATGTGGTGAAACCAGTCATAGAAAAAGTCTCTAGTGACCCATGCCTTACTGTTTGCCCTCCACATCACACACAAATTAGCCTTGAGGACATTGTTTTTCCTGAACACTGGGAGTTTCAGAGTGATACACCAATAAAGGCTTCACTTTGCAATCACCACTAGCATTACCACACAACAGAAGAGTAAGCCTGTCTTTCATAGGCTTATGTCCTGGGAGTGCCTTTTCCTCCTCAGTAATGCAGGTCTTGTTTGGCATTTTCTTCCAAAACAGGCGTGTTTCGTCACAAACGCTTGTTCTGGTTTCACTCCTTCAACCTCTATGTACTCCTTGAATTCCTTCACTTATTTTTCAGCCGCTTTTTGGTCCGAACTGGCAGCCTCACCATGCCTTACTACACTGTGTATGCCACTACAATTTAAGAATCTCTCAAACTAGCCTTTGCTTGCCTTAAATTCATCAGTCTCAACACTATTTTGAGGCATTTTCTTAATTAGATCATCATGCAACTGCCTTGCCTTTTCACATATGATCGCTTGAGAGATGCTATCTCCTGATACCTGTTTTTCGTTTATCCACACCAGTAACAGTCTCTCAACATTTTTGAGCACTTGCGATCTGTGTTTCATAAAGATACTTGCACCTTTTGCAACAGCAGCTTCCTTGAGTGCCTGTTTGTTGGCCAGGATAGTAGAGATAGTTGATTGGGGTTTGTTGTACAACCTGGCCAGCTCAGAGGCATGCACTCCACTTTCGTATTTATTCACTATCTTCTTCATTTCAATAGCAATGTTCACCCTTTTTACCACAGGGTTGGCACTAGAGGCTTTCTTTGGGCCCATGGTGGCTTATTTAGCAGTTAGAAGCACTAAAAACACTCTAATAATATAAAATGTTCCGCATGTATTCATGGGAGCGACTACTCTGGCTTGTAAACAATGGCACACTAACTGAAGGCAGGCCAGCTGAGGCACACTCAGTCCAGACAGACATGTGGACGTGTACCAGACGAATGCTGTAGGTCGAGTTTTTCAACGTACCTCGGGGTCAAATTTTTACGCTGAAACGCATCATTGGTTGGTTTTAACGTAGGTTGGGGACATCATACGTCGGAGGTCCACTGTATACACTATGTACAGCAAATAGGTATTAGTGCACGCCATGGTAGTCAAGGCAAAACAGTAGCCAGAGACAAGAGACAACTGTGCTTCAACCAGCAGCAGAATGAAAATGACAAGGGTGAAAACATGAGTGGTAACCATGTCACCTTCACAATTGCCAGATCCACATTATGATTTGCTGAACCTAGGTACTGATCTGATGATAGGACCCCATTGGATTGTCAGACCCTTAGTGCCTGGTTCACTGGTTGGGGAGATAGCCTATGTGAGAATGTGGACATACTCCAAATAAAGGTTACATACTCTTTGCATGCCGCATCCCTACCCCAAGAGGGCTCAGGACTAGGCTTCCGCCTCCATGGGTAAAAGTGCTGCCATGGCATGGTATAATGGAACCTCCTTTCCTCTCAACCATCCAACTCATTAGATAGACCTCAGATTTTATCACGACATAAAGCCAAACTCTAAACTTAGAGCGAGACAGCAGACACTAGGGCTAATGTAGGTCCAAGATACCTGTGGATGGTAGCAGAATATCCCCTCACTAAAAAAATAAAAAATATTAAATATTCACTATATACAATAGGGGGAACAAAGAGCTAGTTATGTTTTACCCATAGTCCCTAACACATCCTAACCTAATACATTACATGCAGGATAATGAATCATCTAGCGTATTTTCTTTGCCGGCGATGTGACAAATTTATACGTTGAATGTAGACCAGAGGATTTTTTTTGTGGTCACTATAGACTGTGACCACCTGAGATGTCTGGCCCACATGTACTTCAAAATTCTCCAAGGCCATTATCAGAGCAAGGGCTTCTTTTTCAGTTGTGGAGTAGCCCTCTGGTATGGCTGATACTTGGCGGAGAAATAAGCCACAGGCTGCAACCCGTTGTCCCCAGATTGCAGAAGTACTGCCCCCACCCCTGACTCACAAGCATCAACCTGTAATGTAAAGGATTTTGGGAAATCTGGAGACAGAAGAATGGGTGCATTACAAAGGATTCTTTTTGCTTTCGTAAAAGCATTTTTACATTCCAGGGTCCAATTAAAGGGGAGGTTAGAGGGGGCTACAACATCTGCAAAATTTTTACAGAATCTTCTATAAAATCCTACCATACCTAGGAAATGTTGGAGAGATTTCTTATCCTGAGGTACTGAATAATTTTTAATGACAAGCATTTTAGCAAATTTAGGGACCACTTTGCCACTACCTACTTCATGGCCCAAAAAGTTAATAATAGACTGGCCAAAGGATGATTTGGATAAATTAACAGTTAAGTGGAATCTCT